TCATAGCTTTAGAACCATAAATTCGAACTGTAAACTTAAAATAGAAACACAGAAAGTAAAATAATTAAAAAAAAAAAATATTGGGTTGGGGGGTTGAGGGGGTTGGGGTGGTTGGTGCAGGAAAACTGAAAAACAAAAAGAATAAAAAATTGAAAATACAAAGAAAAAAAAATAGGAGGGTGCGTGGTGACGGAAAAGAAATTAAACTGAAATCCGAAAAAAAAGCCTTTTTGGAGAGAGGGGTGATAGGAGCAAACCTGTTGTTGTATGTGGAAGAAAGAAAATTAGACAAAACAAAAGAAAGAAAAGTCAAAAAGAGATGAAAATATGATGTAAGCGCTTAAGTCGGCATTCTTATGATGTAAGCACTTACGCCGGCATTTTTATGATGTAAGCGCTTACGCCGACATTCTTATGATGTAAGCGCTTATGTTATCATTATTATGATGTAAGCGCTTACGTCGGCAGGGCATTCAAATGCCTATATAAGGGGTCTGCATTTTCATTTGCAGATCATCCCTCAACTTCTTCTTTCTCTCTTCAATTAATAAAGAGTTATTCTTTGTGTGGCCTTGGAGTAGGCAAAAATTGTCGAACCACATAAATCTTCTTGTCTTGTGCAATTTATTGCTTTTCTCTTTTAAATATTCTTTTCCTTCTATTAGCCTGACACGCTCCCCAACAACTAGTATCATAGCACCGATAATGTAATTTTGGTAGAAAAGTATAGTATTGGTGCAGGTACTATTCACAAGAATGGTGCGACACTATTGATCATCGTTACTATTCACATGCACTATTCACATACATTTTTTTGTGAAAAATTGCATCGGAAGAAGGGAAGGTTAAGATTGACAAGTTCAATGGCAAAGATTTTGGATTCTGAAAAATGCAAATAGAGGATTATTTGTACCAGAAAAAATTTCACTTACCTCTAACCAAGGTAAAACCAGAGACTATGGCCAAAGCGGACTGGGATCTATTAGATCGCCAAGCTCTTGGTATGATTCGTTTGACGCTAACACGAAATGTGGGTTTAACATCATTAACGAGAAGACCACTACATGCCTGATGGAGGCGTTGTCAAATATGTACGAGAAACCATCTGCTTCAAATAAAGTCCATTTGATGCATCGATTGTTCAACTTAAAGATGACGGACTTAGTTCTAAGCGAAGATATTCGCCGAAGAGAATCAATTGATTTCCCAGGATCTGCTTTTAATACCGAAAGCAGGGGGAGAAGCAACCAAAGAGGACAAAGTCATGGTCGTGGCAGATCAAAGTCAAGGAGAAGGGGGCAATCCAAAAATCACAAGGACATTACTTGTTGGAATTGTGATAAAAAGGGTCACTACAGTAGTCAATGTAGAGAACCAAAGAAGAAGAAAGGAAGAAAATTCACCAAATGTAATGGCCGAACAAGTCGGTGATGCACTAATTTGTTGTGCAGACAGTCCAGTCGAATCTTAGATTCTGGACTCAGGTGCATCCTTTCACTCTACATCATGTAAAGAATTATTACATAATTTTATTGCTGGAAAATTTGGTAAGGTTTATCTAGCAGACGGCGAACTTTTGGACATTGTTAGGAAAGGTGAAGTTCATATAAAGTCTTCACAAGGCATGCTATGGAAATTGCAAAATGTCCGACATATTCCTGGCCTCAAGAAAAATCTAATATCGATGGGTCAGATTGATAGTGAAGGATATACAACAACATTCGGTAACGGACCGTGGAAGATAACCAAAGAAAATTTGGTTGTGGCACGAGGCTTCAAGAAGGGAACACTGTATGCAACTGCAATACAGAGAGATACTATAGCAACAATTGATCATGGTCGTGATACAACTGTGGCACCGGAGTCTCGGGCATATGAGTGAGAATGGAATGAAGTTGTTGGCATCCAAAGAAAAATTGTCAAACCTAAAGCATATTGAATTAGGTTTGTGCGAAGATTGCATTTACGGGAAACAAAAGAGAGTTAGTTTCTCAAAGGTGGGAAGGACGCCAAAGAAAGAGAAGCTGGAACTAGTGCATACAGATGTGTGGGGACCAGCTCCTGTAACTTCTCTGGGAGGCTCACNATTTCTTTTTTGGTTTGCCTTTCCTTAGAGTTGACAGTGATCTGTGTATCCAATTGAAGGGTTGGAGGACTTGTGCTGTGACTACACTAGGTAGGGGTGGTAGTGACTTGACTGCTACAACCATTGGTAAAGCATTGGGATTACGAGAAATTCAGGTTACCAGATGAATCTGGCTTACTATTTTTATCACATTTTTAATTTGCACCCTTGCTTGTATAAGCATAAGAAGTTGCAATCAAGAAGTCAGTTTGATTGAAGATCCTTTGTTATATGACTGACAGGTCTGGAAGGATGTTGATGGTGTTTTGACGTGTGATCCCAACATATATCCACGTGCACAGCCTGTGCCTTATCTAACTTTTGACGAGGCAGCTGAACTTGCATACTTTGGCGCACAGGTCTTGTTAGCTGTTTCAGAAATTATTTTCATCCTGGAAATCCAATTGTTGTATCTTGTCTTAGTGATTTATTTTCCTAATTAATAGAGTATTACTATTACTCTTCCAGACAAGCTAGTTAGTCGAGAAGTTTTGCAGAGATCCTCTCTCTGAGGTGAAAAAGTTTAACTATTCAATGACAGGGATGTATTCGTTGCTGTTGAGTAGAATCTCTTGAGTGCTAGGAGCAACTTTATACCACTTTGTCCCTCTCACTCGTCAACTGAGATTCTTAGTCTGAAAAATCAAAAAGAGGGTCCATCATACTGGAAGCCGTAATGTCCAATAGATCTTCTTTCGTGACCATTTGTTTGACCATTCGATGTAGCATTTGGTTAAGGAGTTTGAAATGGATTACTGTATCTAAGTTGCAAATGTTTTATTATTAACAATTGTTAAAAGGTTCAGGAAAGTTATAGTTTAATGGAAAAGGTTACAATTCAAAGTTGAAAAAATCATAGAATATTTATCATGGCAAGAATTAAGATTGAAGGTCTATCCATTTCTGACAACCTAAAATGGAAAATAGATGACATAAGAATTTGCAGTCTAACTATTATATTTAGAATAGCTTTAATTCTCCTCGAAATGCTTCTACAGGTCCTTCATCCACAGTCCATGAGGCCGGCAAGAGAGGGTGATATTCCTGTTAGGGTTAAAAACTCATATAATCCTAAAGCTCCTGGTACCCTTATCTGTAGAGCAAGAGATATGAGTAAGGTTAGAGCAGCTTTTTCCACTAATTCTATCTGCAGAAATAACGAAAACATAACTGTGTTTCATCCCGTACTTGCTTGCAGGCAGTACTTACAAGTATTGTTCTGAAACGAAATGTAACCATGTTGGATATAGTGAGTACCCGCATGCTCGGTCAATTTGGTTTCCTTGCAAAGGTACTTTCCACGTCACTTTTTAGTACTTTGCCCTCAAGTCCGGAATCTGATGTGGTTTGTAGCTTCTTCAGGTTTTCTCCATCTTTGAAGATTTAGGTATATCGGTTGACGTCGTTGCGACAAGTGAAGTTAGCATTTCCTTGACATTGGACCCATCAAAACTTTGGAGCAGAGAGCTGATTCAGCAGGCAAGCGTACGACTTTCTTCTTAATTTCTTGGCCGCATCAATAAATTGCAACTTTCCAGCCAACGTACTATCGTTTTTCAAGTGTTCACTAGTAGTTTGCTAAATTTTGTCTCAACTCTCCTTTTATGTGGATATCTTTCCTGCATGTGCATAAATTCATTTGTGGATTTTATGGTTCTTTCAGTGGTGTGTTTTAACATTCTAAATTACTGAACTGAGCAGGAGCTTGATCATGTTGTGGAAGAACTTGAGAAAATTGCGGTTGTGAATCTACTTCAACACAGATCAATCATCTCTCTGATTGGGAACGTCCAGAGGTCCTCGCTGATTCTCGAAAAGGTGCTCTAATAGCTCTTATTGCTGTATCCTCGTAGACATTCATTTAGTGACCAGCAGAGCTTTCATTTGCTTATTATTCCAGAACCTTTTTCTGTAGTATAGAGTTACTATTGCTTGGGTACGTTAGCCCATTGTGCTGCATTATCTAATATGCTATCTCATGCTTTCTCAACCTAGTTATACAGTAGTTCATCATTATGACTCTTGAGTAGTGTCTCTTTGCATATGATTTATTTACCGGAGTCCTAGCCTTCTTACGCCACATGCTTAGTCTCTCATTCTATCACTTGCATGTTGTTTAAGTCATCAGTATCGGGTTTGCTGTTACATCGCAGCTATATGGGAGTTTACGTCATTATCTATCTTTTTAAGTGTAATTCATGTTGTGCATTAAATGACAGGCTTTCCATGTTCTGCGTACCAATGGGGTCAATGTTCAAATGATCTCTCAAGGTGCATCGAAGGTAATCTACCTTATTCTATTCAAAGCTATACATAAATCATCTCTAAGCGTTACGGGAGAAAGTGCTTCACATTAACACTCTAACTTTTGTGTGTGATGGCCAGGTCAATATCTCATTGATAGTAAATGATAGTGAAGCAGAGCAATGTGTAAGGGCTCTCCACAAAACATTCTTTGAGAGTGATCTTTCTGAACTAGTCTGGGAAAATGGATCAGGAAATGGACATGTTGCTCCCTTATCCACATTGTCCACTTGAGTTTCGCCTTAATATGTTTCTTCTTCCAAATATTTTGTCCGAGGAAATTAACGATTATAGTAGTGTTATTTTTGGGTGGGTGGAGTTTTGTCCTAGTAATTTTTATCTTTTGTAGCAACTAGTCGCATTCTACTTAAGTTATCTTTATTGGAGAAAATTAGATTACCATGCCCAAGAAGATTGTGGACAAGTTCTACAAAATGCGCAACTCATCTTATTAAGCCTACTCAGATGTTCTATATAAGTGACCTTGTCTTGATAATTATGTTATTCACTAATTTCGCTATTTCCCATTCTTCCAGTAATCCCCACGACCCCTACATCTGGTTGGAATGGGATGGTGTTTGTGTTTGATAAGGATGGGGTTGTTCTGTTTGCGGGCTAATTATGCGAAGATTATTATAGGGAAAATGAAATTGTATAGCCGCTCTCAAAATAAAAGCCGAAAAATGTATATTTGGTTTATATATACATATTTGTATGTTATATACTAAAATAAATTAATTTTATGCACTTTTGCGGCTATTAGGAAATTTGTCTATCCATTAACAACACATGGATGTCATGTATGAATTACATAGGGTTGCCTTGAATTACTTATATTTCTATATATATATATATTGCTTGCATTCATAGTTAAACGGAAAATATTTTATGTGGTAAATGTTTTCTTGGAAAACAAGTAGTAATCTTACTCATTTTTTGGTGTTTGGTATGTGAATTAATGAAAATAACTTCTCAAGAGTATTCATGAATAATTTAGATACAATAAACATGAACCCATAAACTTTTGAACCTACGACCTTCCGAATTGCTAAACTTTCGAACCTGTAAATTTTCGAACGCGTAAACTTCAAACCTGTAAATTTTCGAACACGTAAACTTTATAATTTTAAACCTGCAAACTTCCAAACACAAAATCTCTGAACTCATAGCTTTTGAACCCATAAAATTTCGAACCTGTAAACTTAAAAATGAAAACACCAGAAAGTAAAAATATTAAAAAAAAAAAAACTAATTTGGTTGGGGGGTTTGGAAGGGGGTTGGGGGTGGGTTGGTGTCGAGGA